CAACAACTACGATGCTATACCAGAGAACAGACAGACCAACAACTACAATGCTATACCAGAGAACAGACAGACCAACAACTACAATGCTATACCAGAGAACAGACAGGCCAACAACTACAATGCTATACCAGAGAACAGACAGGCCAACAACTACGATGCTATACCAGAGAACAGACAGACCAACAACTACGATGCTATACCAAAGTTAACACCGGGGAGGAGGCATTGAAACCTCAACTCAATGCACTGGGTTACCAGCTGGCTTACATGTAGCCATGGTTACAGGCAGCTAGGGTTGCTATCACACACACACCCCCACTTGTACACAAACCACTGACATCATATCAACACGAAATGACTGATTAACACTTGTAGCAGGAAACAGTGTATTGTACTTTAGCAGCACAAATTAAATGAACACAATAAAATCATGTCTTGTAACATAAATGTGATAAAGATATCAGAAATAAAAAGAGCGTATGGTAGCAGTGTGTCATCCACTGCCACAGATGATGATGGAGTGTATATTTACTGGCTAATTGACCCGCACCACAAAAGTAAGCCAAATAAACAATATGTCACTTCCAGAGGTCAGAATGGACATGAGGGCTGTGGCATTCTGCACTAATGATCAACACTTGAAAAAAGATGACCTTGAGGACGCGAACAGTGAGCATAGTGGACAGACAAGACTGACATGTCCAGGGTAAAGTGACACTAATGAAATCACTGACAGCTGGACTGACATGTCCACGGTGAGGTGACTGGCGAAATCACTGACAGCTGGACTGACCATGTCCATGGTGAGGTGACTGGTGAAATCACTGACAGCTGGACTGACCATGTCCACGGTGAGGTGACTGATGAATCACTGACAGCTGGACTGACCATGTCCACGGTGAGGTGACTGATGAAATGACTGACAGCTGGACTGACCATGTCCATCGTGAGGTGACTTATGAAATCACTGACAGCTGGACTGACCATGTCCACGGTGAGGTGACTGATGAAATCACTGACAGCTGGACTGACATGTCCACAGTGAGGTGACTGATGAAATCACTGACAGCTGGACTGACATGTCCACCGTGAGGTGACTGGTGAAATCACTGACAGCTGGACTGACATGTCCACGGTGAGGTGACTGGTGAAATCACTGACAGCTGGACTGACATGTGCACGGTGAGGTGACTGGTGAAATCACTGACAGCTGGACTGACATGTCCACAGTGAGGTGACTGGTGAAATCACTGACAGCTGGACTGACGATGTCCACAGTGAGGTGACTGGTGAAATCACTGACAGCTGGACTGACATGTGCACGGTGAGGTGACTGGTGAAATCACTGACAGCTGGACTGACCATGTCCACAGTGAGGTGACTGGTGAAATCACTGACAGCTGGACTGACCATGTCCACAGTGAGGTGACTGGTGAAATCACTGACAGCTGGACTGACATGTGCACGGTGAGGTGACTGGTGAAATCACTGACAGCTGGACTGACCATGTCCACCGTGAGGTGACTGGTGAAATCACTGACAGCTGGACTGACCATGTCCACAGTGAGGTGACTGGTGAAATCACTGACAGCTGGACTGACCATGTCCACGGTGAGGTGACTGATGAAATCACTGACAGCTGGACTGACATGTCCACAGTGAGGTGACTGATGAAATCACTGACAGCTGGACTGACATGTCCACGGTGAGGTGACTGATGAAATCACTGACAGCTGGACTGACATGTCCACAGTGAGGTGACTGATGAAATCACTGACAGCTGGACTGACATGTCCACGGTGAGGTGACTGATGAAATCACTGACAGCTGGACTGACATGTCCACGGTGAGGTGACTGGTGAAATCACTGACAGCTGGACTGACATGTGCACGGTGAGGTGACTGGTGAAATCACTAACAGCTGGACTGACCATGTCCACAGTGAGGTGACTGGTGAAATCACTGACAGCTGGACAGTGGCCACAGAGCTCTATTTCTACAGGGCAGAAGACAGGGAAAGTAACCATTACTCAGGCTCCTGGGGCATCAGAGTTCAGGGTGTGACTAGATGATCTGGACCAGTATCATCCCAAAAGGTATACGACTAGAATGCCCAGCATCTTAAGGTGTCTCCAATATCCTGCATTCATGTTTGAGCTGGTGGTCTAGTGTCTCTCCTTCCATGATTGGTATATTTCAACTACCACATGGCTCCTTCCTTCCATGACTGGTATATTTCAACTACCACATGGCTCTTTCCTTCCATGACTGGTATATTTCAACTACCAAATGGCTCTTTCCTTCCATGACTGGTATATTTCACCTAATACATGGCTCCTTCCTTCCATGACTGGTATATTTCAACTACTAAATGGATCTTTTCATGACTGGTATATTTTAACTACCACATGGCTCCTTCCTTCCTTGACTGGTATATTTCAACTACCACATGGATCCTTCCTTCCATGACTGGTATATTTTAACTACCACATGGATTCTTCCTTCCATGACTGGTATATTTCAACTATCACATGGCTCTTCCTTCCATGACTGGTATATTTCAACTACCACATGGATCCTTCCTTCCATGACTGGTATATTTCACTTACCACATGGCTCCTTCCTTCCATGACTGGTATATTTTAACTACTACATGGCTCTTTTCATGACTGGTATATTTCAACTACCACATGGCTCCTTCCTTTCATGACTGGTATATTTCAACTACCACATGGCTCCTTCCTTCCATGACTGGTATATTTCACCTACCACATGGCTCCTTCCTTCCATAAATGGTATATTTCACTTACCACATAGCTCCTTCCTTCCATGACTGGTATATTTCAACTACCACATGGCTCCTTCCTTCCATGACTAGTATATTTCAACTACTACATGGATCTTTTCATGACTGGTATATTTCAACTACCACATGGCTTCTTCCTTCCATGACTGGTATTTTTCAACTACCACATGGCTCCTTCCTTCCATGACTAGTATATTTCAACTACTACATGGATCTTTTCATGACTGGTATATTTCAACTACCACATAGCTCCTTCCTTCCATGACTGGTATATTTCAACTACCACATAGCTCCTTCCTTCCATGAATGGTATATTTCAACTACCACATGGATCCTTCCTTTTATGACTGGTATATTATAACTACCACATGGCTTCTTCCTTCCATGACTGGTATATTTCACTTACCACATGGCTCCTTCTTTCCATGACTGGTATATTTCAACTACCACATGGATCCTTCCTTCTATGACTGGTATATTTTAACTACCACATGGCTCCTTCCTTCCATGACTGGTATATTTCAACTAGAACATGGCTCCTTGCTTCCATGACTGGTATATTTTAACTACCACATGGCTCCTTCCTTCCATGACTGGTATATTTCAACTACCACATGGATCCTTTCTTTCATGACTGGTATATTTCAACTACCACATGGCTCTTTCCTTCCATGACTGGTATATTTCAACTACCACATGGCTCCTTCCTTCCATGACTGGTATATTTCAACTACATGGATCCTTCCTTCTATGACTGGTATATTTTAACTACCACATGGACCCTTCCATCACTGGTATTTTTCAACTACCACCTGGCTCCTTTCTTCCATGACTGGTATATTTAAACTACCACATGGCTCCTTCCTTCCATGACTGGTAAATTTTAACTACTACATGGCTCTTTTCATGACTGGTATATTTCAACTACCACATGGATCCTTCCTTCCATGACTGGTATATTTCAACTACCACATGGCTCCTTCCTTCCATGACTGGTATATTTCAACTACTACATGGCTCTTTTTATGACTGGTATATTTCAACTACCACATGGATCCTTCCTTTCATGACTGGTATTTTTCAACTACCACATGGACCCTTCCATGACTGGTATATCTTAACTAACACATGGATCCTTTCTTCCATGACTGGTATATTTCAACTGCCACATGGCTCCTTTCTTCCATGACTGGTATATTTCAACCATCTGCAAGTGAAGATACTGCAGCAAAAGACACACAATTCAGGGACAAACCAACATGACATGGCATGCGAGAAAACTGATGGTTGAAATGATCAGATGACTATCACACTCTGTTCAATAATTCACCAGATGCTGAAATCTAGATGACGTATTACGGTAGTTTCTAACAGTAACAATTAGAACAATATTCTGCAAAACTGCTGGTCAGAGTGGTCATTCAGCATTGAACCCAGGCTGACTTCTGGTCACAAACACCAGGAAATCTTGCCCCTCAATAATCACTGGTCACAGTTTAGGGTTGGGTCTGCGTAGTTATCTGCTAGGAGTTGGTTCAGTCCCAGCGAATGTAGGGCAGATTTTGAGTAGGTATCTGTCAGAAGTTGATTCAGCCCCAGCAAGACACATTCATCTAGGTATCTGCCAGAAGTTGATTCAGCCCCAGCAGGACACATTCATCTAGGTATCTGCTACACGTTGATTCAGCCCCAGCAAGACACATTCATCTAGGTATCTGCTACAAGTTGATTCAGCCCCAGCAAGACACATTCATCTAGGTATCTGCTACAAGTTGATTCAGCCCCAGCAAGACACATTCATATAGGTATCTGCTACAAGTTGATTCAGCCCCAGCAGGACACATTCATCTAGGTATCTGCTACAAGTTGATTCAGCCCCAGCAAGACACATACAAATATAAAACAAAATATTGCATGTCACAAACCACAAGGAAGCTGCACAAACAATCAGTACAACAAATTTTATGATGAATTCACAAACACTGTCAATTGGTGCAAAAACTGTAAAGATGAAGTCCACACTAACAATCAGGAAAACTGTTATGATGAAGTCGGCCCACAAAACAACAGTACAAATGAGAAACTGCCAAGACCAGTCTCAGTCAATGAGGTCCAGGCTCTTGAGTGACGGCTCCAAGAGTGGTGACGGTGCTGGAGGACCAACACTGGTGACGGTAACAGAGATGTTCCCAGACTACCTGGGCTGGTGGATGTGGTGGGACACTTGTGGTGGACGTGGTCGGGCGTCGTGAGTTGGGACAGGTTTTTCTTGGAAACACTTGAGAGCCTGAGTAGTGAAGTCCCTGTCTCCCTGTGGACACCAGCACAACTGAGCCATCAGACGGTGACAGTTTCACATCAGACTGTCATACAATCACTTGCTAATATCTTCACACAAGTTTCTCACACAATGATGTAGTGACACCTTCACACAAGTCTGTCACATAATCATGTGGTGACACCTTCACACAAGTCTGTCACATAATCATGTGGTGATACCTTTACACAAGTGATTAGTAAAGATTATCATTACAGCAGTCCGGGTTTATCCACTTACTTACTTCACACAACTCTGTCCTACAATGATGTGGTGACAACTTCACACACTGACACACAACAGTACATTGTAAATTTTACACTTGCACTGATAGACACAGGTACACTGTGAACTTACCTGTGTACTGACAGACAACAGTAAAGTGTGAACTTATCTGTGTACTGACAGACAACAGTGAACTGTGAACTTCCCTGTGCACTGACAAACAGTGCAGGTCCATCTAATTGCATAGGCACACTGGGCACTTGCCCAAGGGGCCTACAGGCTTAGGGGCCGCATGTTGATCTTTTTATAACAAGGTACAGGTTTAAAAAAAAATATATTTCACATTTAAATTAATTCTTTGTAATGTCAAACTGAAATAATATTTCCCATGCTCTGACTCTCTCTCTCTTACACACACAGACAATCACAAGGTCTTGTTGACCGCTGTGTGTACTGACTGTGTTCCAAGAAAGAATCTCCTTTTGCTACATCAGGGTTCAGTGACTGCTAGCACAGTCATGTATGTAATTGTAGCACGTGCAAATGGACAACATCCAAATGTCATGGCAGCATATTTGATAAAGCATAATACAGCAACTGCAAATGTAGACTGTTTGTCCCTGAAGGTAAATTGCAGACAGCAGCAATACTGGCCATCAAGTGCTGACCGCTGTGGTTTCAGTCATTGGCTTTCTTGCCCCCAAATTTTGTCACATCACTTTAGTGGCTCATAACACAATGGCAACTATTTGGGTATACTACAGCTGCTGAGTGAACTAGAAGCTTTCTTGGACGAATATTTCAAAATGTGTATTCACTCTGGACACAAGAATGCATCACATGTATCTGCCAATATTTGAGAGGAATCTACTGAATTAATTTAACAACAGACTGTATTAGCCTCCAAGAAGTAAAAGCATTCAAGTTCATTAAGGGCAGATTGGGTTTCAGACATCTCACAGACATCCCACAGACATCCCAGACATCCTACAGACATCCCACAGACATCTCACAGACATCTCACAGACATCCCACAGACATCCCACAGACATCTCACAGACATCTCACAGACATCTCACAGACATCCCACAGACATCCCACAGACATCCCAGACATCCTACAGACATCTCACAGACATCTCACAGACATCTCACAGACAAATCAACTGAAATTTAATGCCCAATACATTCAAGGCTGTAAGCCTGTGTAAAGTTCCTTTGTAAGTAAAGTGTGAACTTATCTGTGTACTGACAGAAAAAAGTGAACTGTGAACTTACCTGTGTACTGACAGACAACAGTGAACTGTGAACTTACCTGTCTACTGACAGATAACAGTGAACTGTGAACTTACCTGTGTACTGACAGACAACAGTGAACTGTGAACTTACCTGTCTACTGACAGATAACAGTGAACTGTGAACTTACCTGTGCACTGACAGACAACAGTGAACTGTGAACTTACCTGTTCCTGTGTAAAGTTCCTTTGTGTTCATTGACATATTTTCTCACACAGTAAAGAATCTAACAGACACTGTTGTAGATTTTCTTGTTGAGAACAAAATGTCACTATCAAACTGCCGTGGTCAGTTAAACAATAATGGCTGAAGCATGTATAGACAATATATGGGTTGCAAGCAGGGACATCCATCCACTCAGAGAGCATGGGTTACAAGCAGGGACACATCCACTCAGAGAGCATAAGTTGCAAACAGGAACTCATCCACTCAGAGAGCATGGTTTACAAGCAGGAACTCACCACTCAGAGAGCATGGGTTGCAAGCAGGGACACATCCACTCAGAGAGCATGGGTTGCAATCAGGGACATCCACTCAGAGAGCATGGGTTGCAAGCAGGGACATCCACTCAGAGAGCATGGGTTGCAAGCAGGGACATCCACTCAGAGAGCATGGGTTGCAAGCAGGGACACATCCACTCAGAGAGCATGGGTTGCAAGCAGGAACTCACCACTCAGAGAGCATGGGTTACAAGCAGGGACACATCCACTCAGAGAGCATGGGTTGCAAGCAGGGACACATCCACCCAGAGAGCATGGGTTGCAAGCAGGGACTCATTCACTCAGAGAGCAGTGGTTGCAAGCAGGGACACATCCACTCAGAGAGCATGGGTTGCAAGCAGGGACATCCACTCAGAGAGCGTGGGTTGCAAGCAAGGACATCCACTCAGAGAGCGTGGGTTGCAAGCAGGGACACATCCACTCAGAGAGCATGGGTTGCAAGCAGGGACACATCCACTCAGAGCATGGGTTGCAAGCAGGGACACATCCACTCAGACAGCATGGGTTGCAAGCAGGGACTCATCAACTCAGAGAGCATGGGTTGCAAGCAGGGACTCATCAACTCAGAGAGCATGCACTCATGCCAGCTGTGCTGTACATTGCCTGAATTTGGTGGCAGTAAAAAAACATTATTGTCTACAATTCTTTGACTGTGTGTCTGATAGACTATAGTGCACTGTCAGCTTATTTGCACTGAGAGACAACAGTGCACTGTGAACTACAGATAACAACGATGTAACGGCCTACTGACCTTGGTGACAGCTCCAGAGATGATCAAAGACTGGTGATGCTTGTCAACCTTTGGGGGGCTAGGGAAATACAAGCAGAAACACAGACCAATCACAGATCTGTATGTTTGAAGGAATACAAGCAGAAACACACACCAATCACAGATCTGTATGTTTGAAGGAATACAAGCAGAAACACACACCAATCACAGATCTGTATGTTTGAGGGAATACAAGCAGAAACACAGACCAATCACAGATCTGTATGTTTGAGGGAATACAAGCAGAAACACAGACCAATCACAGATCTGTATGTTTGAAGGAATACAAGCAGAAACACACACCAATCACAGATCTGTATGTTTGAAGGAATACAAGCAGAAACACACACCAATCACAGATCTGTATGTTTGAGGGAATACAAGCAGAAACACACACCAATCACAGATCTGTGTGTTTGAGGGAATACAAGCAGAAACACACACCAGTCACAGATCTGTATGTTTGAGAGAATACAAGCAGAAACACACACCAATCACATATCTGTATGTTTGAGATAATACAAGCAAAAACACACCAATCACAGATCTGTATTAGGGAATACAAGCAGAAACACACACCAATTACAGATCTGTATGTTTGAGGGAATACAAGCAGAAACACACACCAATCACAGATCTGTATGTTTGAGGGAATACAAGCAGAAACACACAATAATCACAGATCTGTTAGAGAGAATACAAGCAGAAACACAGACCAATCACAGATCTGTAAGAGGGAATACAAGCAGAAACACACACCAATCACAGATCTGTATGTTTGAGGGAATACAAGCAGAAACACACACCAATCACAGATCTGTATGTTTGAGGGAATGCTGGAGTTTCTGTCAAGTGATCATAGTTTCAGGCTTGCAGTCACACACATGACTTCAGACAACAAGGACAATGTAAACCAACAAATCATCACAGGCTTTGAGGCAGGGGAGATGTGATTTTGGTGACAAATGGAAACCGATAATCCGCAAAGGCTTGGAGACAAAGGTTATTAACATCTGTCAAACACCATCAAATGATAAACATGAAATACGACAATAACTGACAAATATCATGACACACAACAATGACTGATATATGTCATAACACACAATGAATGATAAATGTCATGAAATACAAATATATGTAGCCAAATAAATAAAAATATGAATATGACTGTTTTCTCAGATACAGTCATTAGAGGAGAAGAATTGGAAAACATCAAGACATCGGTAGGTGAGGCAGTGGTATGTGAGGCAGTGGTAGATGAGGTGGTGGTAGATGAGGTGGTGGTAGATGAGGTTGTGGTAGATGAGGTGGTGGTAGGTGAGGCAGTGGTTTGTGAGGCAGTGGTAGGTGAGGTGGTGGTAGGTGAGGCAGTGGTAGGTGAGGTGGTGGTAGGTGAGGCAGTGGTAGGTGAGGTGGTGGTAGGTGAGGCAGTGGCAGGTGAGGCAGTGGCAGGTGAGGCGGTGGTAGGTGAGGTGGTGGTTGGTGAGGCAGTGGTAGGTGAGGCAGTGGCAGGTGAGGCGGTGGCAGGTGAGGCGGTGGTAGGTGAGGTGTGGTTGGTGAGGTAGTGGTTGGTGAGGTGGTGGTAGGTGAGGCAGTGGCAGGTGAGGCAGTGGCAGGTGAGGCAGTGGCAGGTGAGGCGGTGGTAGGTGAGGTGTGGTTGGTGAGGTAATGGTTGGTGAGGTGGTGGTAGGTGAGGCAGTGGTTGGTGAGGCAGTGGTTGGTGAGGTGGTGGTAGGTGAGGTGGTGGTAGGTGAGGTGGTGGTTGGTGAGGTGGTGGTTGGTGAGGCAGTGGCAGGTGAGGCAGTGGCAAGTGAGGCAGTGGCAGGTGAGGCAGTGGCAGGTGAGGCAGTGGCAGGTGAGGCGGTGGTAGGTGAGGTGTGGTTGGTGAGGTAATGGTTGGTGAGGTGGTGGTAGGTGAGGCAGTGGTTGGTGAGGCGGTGGTTGGTGAGGTGGTGGTAGGTGAGGTGGTGGTAGGTGAGGTGGTGGTAGGTGAGGTGGTGGTTGGTGAGGTGGTGGTTGGTGAGGCAGTGGCAGGTGAGGCAGTGGCAAGTGAGGCAGTGGCAGGTGAGGCAGTGGCAGGTGAGGCAGTGGCAGGTGAGGCAGTGGCAGGTGAGGCAGTGGCAGGTGAGGCGGTGGTAGGTGAGGTGTGGTTGGTGAGGCAGTGGTTGGTGAGGTGGTGGTAGGTGGGGTGGTGGTTGGTGAGGCGGTGGTTGGTGAGGCAGTGGTTGGTGAGGTGGTGGTAGGTGAGGTGGTGGTAGGTGAGGTGGTGGTTGGTGAGGCGGTGGTTGGTGAGGCAGTGGCAGGTGAGGCAGTGGTAGGTGAGGCGGTGGTAGGTGAGGTGGTGGTAGGTGAGGTGGTGGTAGGTGAGGCAGTGGTAGATGAGGCAGCGGTTGGTGAGGCAGTTGTTAGTGAGGCATTGGTAGGTGAGCCAGTGGTAGATGAGGTGGTGGTAGATGAGGTTGTGGTAGATGAGGTTGTGGTAGGTGAGGCGGTGGCAGGTGAGGCGGTGGCAGGTGAGGCGGTGGTAGGTGAGGCAGTGGTAGGTGAGGCAGTGGTTGGTGAGGTGGTGGTAGGTGAGGTTATGGTAGGTGAGGTGGTGGTTGGTGAAGCAGTGGCAGGTGAGGCAGTGGCAGGTGAGGCGGTGGTAGGTGAGGTGTGGTTGGTGAGGTAGTGGTTGGTGAGGTGGTGGTAGGTGAGGCAGTGGTTGGTGAGCCAGTGGTTGGTGAGGTGGTGGTTGGTGAGGTGATGGTTGGTGAGGCAGTGGCAGGTGAGGCAGTGGTAGGTGAGGCAGTGGTAGGTGAGGTGGTGGTAGGTGAGGCAGTGGTAGATGAGGCAGCGGTTGGTGAGGCAGCGGTTGGTGAGGCAGTTGTTAGTGAGGCATTGGTAGGTGAGGCAGTGGTAGATGAGGTGGTGGTAGATGAGGTTGTGGTAGATGAGGTTGTGGTAGATGAGGTGGTGGTAGGTGAGGCAGTGGTTGGTGACATGGTGGTTGGTGAGGCAGTGGTTAGTGAGGTAGTGGTAGGTGAGTCAGTGGTAGGTGAGGCAGTGGTTGGTGAGGCAGTGGTTGGTGAGGCAGTGGTAGGTAAGGCAGTGGTAGGTGAGGCAGTGGTTGGTGACGTGGTGGTTGGTGAGGCAGTGGTTAGTGAGGTAGTGGTAGGTGAGTCAGTGGTAGGTGAGGCAGTGGTTGGTGAGGCAGTGGTTGGTGAGGCAGTGGTAGGTAAGGCAGTGGTAGGTAAGGCAGTGGTTGGTGAGGCAGTGGTAGGTGAGGCAGTGGTTGGTGAGGCAGTGGTTGGTGAGGCAGTGGTAGGTAAGGCAGTGGTAGGTAAGGCAGTGGTTGGTGAGGCAGTGGAAGGTGAGGCAGTGATAGGTGAGGCAGTGGTTGGTGAGGTGGTGGTAGGTGAGGCAGTGGTTGGTGAGGCAGTGGTTGGTGAGGCAGTGGAAGGTGAGGCAGTGGTAGGTGAGGCAGTGGTTGGTGAGGTGGTGGTAGGTGAGGTGGTGGTAGGTGAGGCAGTGGTAGATGAGGCAGTGGTTGGTGAGGCAGTGGTTGGTGAGGCAGTAGTTGGTGAGGCAGTGGTAGGTGAGGTGAGGCAGTGGTAGGTGAGATGAGGCAGTGGTAGATGAGGCAGTGGTAGATGAGGCAGTGGTAAATGAGGGGCAGTAGATGAGGCGGTGGTAGATGAGGCGGCAGTAGAGGAGGTGGGGGTAGATGAGGCGGTGGTGGATGAGGTAGTGGTAGATGAGGTGGTGGTAGATGAGGCGGTGGTAGATGAGGTACTGGCCAACTCCTGTACCAGTAAACATCTGACATGAGAAGGTACTGGCCAACTCCTGTACCAGTAAACATCTGACATGAGAAGGTACTGGCCAACTCCTGTACCAGTAAACACCTGACATGAGAAGGTACTGGCCAACTCCTGTACCAGTAAACACCTGACAAGTGAAGGTACTGGCCAACTCCTGTACCAGTAAACACCTGACAAGTGAAGTTACTGGCCAACTCCTGTACCAGTAAACACCTGACAAGTGAAGCTACTGGCCAACTCCTGTACCAGTAAACACCTGACATGTAAAGTTACTGGCCAACTCCTGTACCAGTAAACACCTGACATGTGAAGGTACTGGCTAACTCCTGTACCAGTAAACATCTGATATGTGAAGGTACTGGCCAAGTTCTGTACCAGTAAACACCTGATATGTGAAGGTACTGGCCAACTTCTGTACCAGTAAACACCTGATATGTGAAGGTACTGGCTAACTTCTGTACCAGTAAACACCTGACATGTGAAGGTACTGGCTAACTCCTGTACCAGTAAACATCTGATATGAGAAGGTACTGGCCAACTCCTGTGCCAGTAAACACCTGACAAGTGAAGGTACTGGCCAACTCCTGTACCAGTAAAAACCTGACAAGTTAAGGTACTGGCCAACTCCTGTACCAGTAAACACCTGACAAGTGAAGGTACTGGCCAACTCCTGTACCAGTAAACACCTGACATGTGAAGATACTGGCCAACTTCTGTACCAGTAAACACCTGACTTGTGAAGGTACTGGCCAACTTCTGTACCAGTAAACACCTGACAAGTGAAGTTACTGGCCAACTCCTGTACCAGTAAACACCTGACATGTGAAGGTACTGGCCAACTTCTGTACCAGTAAACACCTGACATGTGAAGGTACTGGCCAACTTCTGCACCAGTAAACACCTGACATGTGGAGGTACTGGCCAACTCCTGTACCATGATAATTGTTTCTCCTGGTATGTGGTCTACCAGTCTTCTGTCAGATAGCATTATGAGGCTGGAAGGGGCATTTATGGGCAAACTGAAAGGGGGACGGGGATCATTATTCAAGTATAATCAAAATAACCTCCCTTAATGCCCCTTTCCAGCCCCCTAAATACCATCTGACATAGAAGACCCTTACGCCACAGTTATACTGCTGGTGTATAGCTTCACATGCAGATAAATTATGCAGATCTGGCCTTATCTGTATGCAGACTCTACCTCTTAGGCAGATACACTCTGACTGTGAAGGAAACACCCTTAATTAGGCAGCTGTTACCAAATGCTTGTGGAGACAGCTCTACTGTTGAAATTCAGAGACTAAACAGCTGAAGTTACAGAAAGCCTCAAGTTATGTTGCAGTCTGTAGTTCCATACACACATCACTGTCTCTCTGTCATCCCCTGTGGAGTTTTTCTTATTCTTATAGGCTCACAAGTCAGGTCATACAGGAGATCATAGCAACAATCAGGACTAAGTTAGGCCAACAAGTCATGTCATATAGGAGATCATAGCAACAATCAGGACTAAGTATTAGTTAGGCCAACAAGTTATGTCATACAGGAGATCATAGCAACAATCAGGACTAAGTATAAGTTAGGCCAACAAGTTATGTCATACAGGAGATCATAGCAACAATCTGGACTAAGTATAAGTTAGGCCAACAAGTCATGTCATATAGGAGATCATAGCAACAATCAGAACTAAGTATAAGTTAGGCCAACAAGTAATGTCATACAGGAGATCATAGCAACAATCTGGACTAAGTATAAGTTAGGCCAACAAGTCATGTCATATAGGAGATCATAGCAACAATCTGGACTAAGTATAAGTTAGGTCAACAAGTCATGTCATATAGGAGATCATAGCAACAATCTGGACTAAGTATAAGTTAGGTCAACAAGTCATGTCATATAGGAGATCATAGCAACAATCTGGACTAAGTATAAGTTAGGCCAACAAGTCATGTCATATAGGAGATCATAGCAACAATCTGGACTAAGTATAAGTTAGGTCAACAAGTCATGTCATACAGGAGATCATAGCAACAATCAGGACTAAGTATTAGTTAGGCCAACAAGTTATGTCATACAGGAGATCATAGCAACAATCTGGACTAAGTATAAGTTAGGCCAACAAGTCATGTCATACAGGAGATCAAAGCAACAATCTGGACTAAGTATAAGTTAGGCCAACAAGTCATGTCATATAGGAGATCATAGCAACAATCTGGACTAAGTATAAGTTAGGCCAACAAGTCATGTCATACAGGAGATCATAGCAACAATCTGGACTAAGTATAAGTTAGGCCAACAAGTCATGTCATATAGGAGATCATAGCAACAATCTGGACTAAGTATAAGTTAGGCCAACAAGTCATGTCATATAGGAGATCATAGCAACAATCTGGACTAAGTATAAGTTAGGCCAACAAGTCATGTCATACAGGAGATCATAGCAACAATCTGGACTAAGTATAAGTTAGGCCAACAAGTCATGTCATATAGGAGATCATAGCAACAATCTGGACTAAGTATAAGTTAGGCCAACAAGTCATGTCATACAGGAGATCATAGCAACAATCTGGACTAAGTATAAGTTAGGCCAACAAGTCAGGTCATACAGGAGATCATAGCAACAATCTGGACTAAGTATAAGTTAGGTCAACAAGTCATGTCATATAGGAGATCATAGCAACAATCGGGACTAAGTATAAGTTAGGCCAACAAGTTATGTCATACAGGAGATCATAGCAACAATCTGGACTAAGTATAAGTTAGGCCAACAAGTCATGTCATATAGGAGATCATAGCAACAATCAGAACTAAGTATAAGTTAGGCCAACAAGTAATGTCATACAGGAGATCATAGCAACAATCAGGACTTAGTTAGGCCAACAAGTCATGTCATACAGGAGATCATAGCAACAATCAGAACTAAGTATAAGTTAGGCCAACAAGTTATGTCATACAGGAGATCATAGCAACAATCTGGACTAAGTATAAGTTAGGCACACAAGTCATGTCATACAGGAGATCATAGCAACAATCAGGACCAAGTATAAGTTAGGCCAACAAGTCAGGTCAACCAGGAGATCATAGCAACAACCTGGACTAAGTATAAGTTAGGCCAACAAGTCATGTCATACAGGAGATCACAGCAACAATCTGGACTAAGTATAAGTTAGGTCAACAAGTCAGGTCATACAGGAGATCATAGCAACAACCTGGACTAAGTATAAGTTAGGCCAACAAGTCATGTCATACAGGAGATCATAGCAACAATCGGGACTAAGTTAGGCCAAGTAATGTCATACAGGAGATCATAGCAACAACCTGGACTAAGTATAAGTTAGGCCAACAAGTCATGTCATACAGGAGATCATAGCAACAATCGGGACTAAGTTAGGCCAACAAGTAATGTCAAATAAGGAGATCATAGCAACAATCAGGACTAAGTTAGGCCAACAAGTTATGTCATACAGGAGATCATAGCAACAATCAGGACTAAGTATAAGTTAGGTCAACAAGTCATGTCACACAGGAGATCATAGCAACAATCTGGACTAAGTATAAGTTAGGCTAACAAGTCAGGTCATACAGGAGATCATAGCAACAATCGGGACTAAGTATAAGTTAGGACATGGCAGTGCAACCTGGTGCAGCTGGACATGAACAACTCCCTAAGACATGATCAGTCAATTGACATATGTGAAGCTCTTGAGGAAGAGAGCACAAATAGATCTGTCAGTAGTGCTGTGATGATAGTCTTCACTAATCACTAGTCAGTTAAATAATAATAGCCACAAATACAATTTTACCAAAAATAGCCCCACGACCACTAACAGCCCCACCACCAACAACAATAGCTCCATCACCAACAACAACAGCCCCACCACCAACAACAATAGCTCCATCACCAACAACAATAGCCCCATCACCAACAACAACAGTCCCAACACCAACAACAACAAGAAAGACACCTTGTGCCAAACTCTGCCTCCTCCTCTGGTGTCATTGTGGCTATCTCTGATTTGTCCCCTTCTCTCTTGTGCTGAACCACCCGCATGCCACCAACCTTGACTGTAACACAAACAAGGCATTAGTTTAGTCTATGCCCAGACACATGTTTAGTTACACACAAACAGGCAAATAAACCACAAACACCACACAAACACACAGCACATTCACACCAAACACCACACAAACACACAGCACATTTACACCAAACACCACACAAACACACAGCACATTCACACCAAACACCACACAAACACACAGCTCGTACACCCCAAACACCACACAAACACACAGCACATTCACACCAAACACCACACAAACACACAGAACATTCAAACCAAACACCACACAAACACACAGCACCTACACCCCAAACACCACACAAACACACATCACCTACACGCCAATTACCACACAAACACACAACACCTACACCCCAAACACCACAAAAACACACATCACCTACACGCCAATTACCACACAAACACACAACACCTACACCCCAATCACAACACAAACACACAGCATCTACACCCCCCTTCCAAAGTTATTTCTTTGAGTTCTTCTCAATATCACTGACTTTATTTCCAGAGCTGACTGTTGTGACTTGTCACCTCATCTCATGTTTGTTCAAGTTAGCCTGCTCAAATGTCAATGCTATCTGTGAACTTGAGGTTACCACCAGGGACCCCCCCCCCCCTTCCCCCCACCCTAACCTCCACGATATGTGGAGTGGTGACCCTAACACAGGAGACAGTGTCTCAATTCTCCACACAATGCGCAGTTTTCACTGTTTCTAAGCAATGTCGATGCTGCCTATATAGAAACACCCTACGACATACACGGCAAAAAGTTAACGTTAGAGAATTTTCTTTCTGTTCTGAGCCCTGGTTAACTAAAATGATGACTGTAACTGACAACATGATGTCACTGGCAGTAATGCCAACTGACACAAACAAACAAACAAACGCTAGTCAGAGGTCTTGTGTGGACATTATTAGTTGGGTCCCTGCTGCGCAAAAACCTGCCAGCCACACAAGAGGTTCGCCTGGTTGTACAACTAGAAGTCTTACCTGCAGGGGCATGGCCGGCTTTGAGATCTGCTGTAGCTGCTACTTCAGCAGAAGACATGTCTGAGTTTGCGATAGTGCGACGACTGAAGCCAGAAACCAGCAACAATGAGAAAATGAATCAGCTGCAGTCGGGGTCTGACACCGGCTCTTGGCTTTGTGCAGACGATCTGTGTACCACGTCACCAGTTTCTGTGTGTTTACTGCCGGGCCCGGCTACCAGAGCCGTGACCTTTTGCCTCAAATGGGCAGCCTGGTCGCCCGAGTTTAGCTTAGTTGAGTTGAGTCAAGAAATGATATCACTGTTCTCAGGGCATTCCCATGCGTGCTCCGTCCTCATGTTAGCAGCCAGCACAGAGTTCTAATAAATAGTGCCGGTCGTAATCTAGTTATGTGTCCCTCTTGCCTTTCCAAGTGTAGTGAGCCAGCCAAAGACCATAGTTGTTACACCCAGGTGCCACATTCTATCCAGACTACAATAATCTTATTTCGCTTCTGACTCCGTTATTTGTTCCTAAAGGGCCCTGACCACATCAACCTTGTCATGTATCAGTTCACCACCCAAGTGGTGTAAATTCAGCCAATCTGCCTGTTCATGCCCCATCACGCCAGTGTTGCCTGGAGAAAATAATCAAATCATGCTAACTACCCGTGACCTTCCTATTGAAGCTTGCAACTCTTCTCGAAGCATCTCTGTCTTCACCTTTCTCAGCATGCTTTCAGAGTCTGTTACAATTATAACATATAACTTGATTAGTACAATTATAACATGCGCATGCATCTTGTTCTCTAGCCATCTGAGAGCTGCTTTACCGCCTCCACCTTCATTCTCAATCTAGGCGTGATGGTATCGTATGCTAGGTTGTCTTGCACTAAAGATTTTCCATTGGCTTTCGCTACAAACCCCCAGGCACGTCTCTTCCCTCTCAATGCAGATCACCAGTTCATCTGAGCAATAATTGTCGTGAATCAACTGTTGGATTTCCACCTCCGTAGCACCCTCTGGTTCATTTTGTACATCCCAGGATCAGCCGCATAGCTTCATTCTGAATGCGCTCGTTTCTCTAGCTGACTCTTCGAGACAGTGAGTAACCCCAACCATAAACAATCGCTGTGATGTTTAAGTGCTGGTAAAGTGTGAACAGTATTCTCTGCTCCATGTCCATTGCTGCCATAGTCTTTAGTGCATTACAAACTGTCTGAGTTTTTTTTTCACAACCTCCTTATCGCACAAAAACCCACATCCCTCTGGTCTTGAACCTGTCCATATCTTGTACACCTACTTGTAGAGGAGAGTAGTATATGGCACTTCGGATCCACCGATTTTGAGGCCTGAGGTATGAAGAATTTGAGGCCTGAGGTATGAAGATTTTGAGGTGTGAGGTATGAAGATTTTGAGGTGTGAGAAATGAAGATTTTTGAGGTGTGAGGTTTGAAGATTTTTTAGGTGTGAGATTGAGGGTTGCCTACTGGGCTGGGTTGGTTGGGGTGAGGGTTAAAGATTCCTGGTTGAGCGTTGCTGTTCGAAGAACCTGGCTGTGGATTGCGGTGTTGGCGGGAAATGTGAACTGTGGGTTGTACAGATCTGCGTTCTGAAAACAGAATTTCACAATTTCAAAAAAGGACAAATGTAACAAATAATTCCATTAAAATGGGTAGGAAAAATATCCATAAAATGCACACAGAAAGTAAACATCAGACAAAGTAAAAAATGTCTTGAAATTTGACAAGATAATAATACGAAAATGGGTAGAGATAGTAATGCTAAATATCATAAAAACTGACAGACAAATAAAATATGTGTAGAAAATAGTCAGACCAGTTAAGAAAATATGAGAATAGGCGGAAAAAGTAAATATCTCATGCATGTACAAAGTGTCACCGAAAAGGACAACGTGGAAATGTAATTATTACATGGACAAAATTATTGAAAAAACATGTCATCACATGGACAGACTGAAAAAATATTTCATTAGAACCTTAACAAGAAATTTAGTTACATAAACTGGAAAAAGAAATACCATTTCATGGACAAACAAAAAGGCATTAAAATAGACAAGGTGAAAAATCTATTTAAAAATTACAAACTGATGAAATTACAGATAATCTCAAATTACAAACATCAATAAAATCATTTTGCCACAAAACATTTTTGTGAATCTGGCAATAATGTTTAATGTTGAATTAAGAATCGACATCACAGCATTCAGGACACTACCATAAGTGCTCATTTCACATCTTCAGCAGCAAGCGAAGAGTTCCTATTTTGATGGTACCAGTAACCGTCTAATTGTCTCATCCTTCCCCTGAGTGTTGAGCGTCGGCCAGATCTCTTGGTGACTCCCCTGAGTGTTGAGCGTCGGCCAGATCTCTTGGTGACTCCCCTGAGTGTTGAGCGTCGGCCAGATCTCTTGGTGACTCCCCTGAGTGTTGAGCGTCGGCCAGATCTCTTGGTGACTCCCCTGAGTGTTGAGCGTCGGCCAGATCTCTTGGTGACTCCCCTGAGTGTTGAGCGTCGGCCAGATCTCTTGGTAACTCCTCCCAGTAACATTCTCCTCAGACCGTAATAATCAATCTGCACCTCCGCACTGTTCACTCGCTCCCAAAGGGCGCTCACAATATCAATGATAATCAAAGACACACTTCTCCCCGGGAGTGCTGTGCCGACACCGCGGGTTGGTCCCCTCGTGGGCTCTATGACAAGACTTACTACAGCACTCGGAATCCTCGGTACAGCCCTCATTGGACCAAACACAGTCCTGCGCTGGGAACAAACAGAACAAACCTTCACTTACAGTTGTGTCCTGCGCTGGGAACAAACAGAACAAACCTTCACTTACAGTTGTACAGGCCAGACGTCATCCAGCTGTCAAAAGTGAAACACCAGACGTCCCCACGAAGGACGCAATTTTGGTTATTTTAAAGCCCGACTTCGGTTGTTGTCTGGAGCTTTTAATCCCACCTCTGCCCGGCTCGCTAGCGTAGTTGGTTAAATCTGACTTCGGGGTAACCGGATGACGAACTCCTTGTGGTCCAGGTTCACGCCCGGGGATGGACAGAAAAGCCACATTTTTCCCAGATTTACGGTACCTATCATGGGATCAAGGCCGAAGGGTTGCGATATCCATAGGACCGAGCCAAAGAGTTAAAAACTCATGGTTTCTGGATACTTATTTAAAAAAAAAAACAACTCTGGGTTCAACAGGGTTTCTGGGACCTGTCCCCGGGCGATCATCATCCGAATAGAGGCACTTTGTGTCACCGGATGTCTATCGCTCGGTATGATGTCCTGGTGGGCTCGAAGGTCAATTTGTCAAAAGTTTTTCATCCCCCTCTACCCGCCGCTCCACCCCTCCCCCTTTTTTTAGGTATCCACACAGTAACCCAAACAGAAAGCCACACAGAGACAAACAGAGTTACACAGACAGTAACCATCACATTTACACAGACAGTAACCATCACAATTACCCAGACAGTAACCATCACAATTACCCAGACAGTAACACACTAAGAAACCTACATTGTAACCCACACAATAACACACATAGCAACGCAGTAATCCACAGAGCAACCCACACAATAACACACATGGCAACGCAGTAATCCACAGAGCAACCCACACAATAACACACATGGCAACG